ACAAATAGTCTATTTGACACAATCCGATATATTCAACACTAGACATTTGAATCAAGCATTACCAGACCCTCAGCGTGGCACAGAGAAAAATAAACCGGGAGTGATCTCCCCTAAACTTTCTCGAATATTCTTATATAAAAAAATAACAGGGGATGGGAACTCGGGCTATAGACATGATTTTTAATCCATTTTAAATACTTAAAGTTTTAAAAATAGAATAAAATCTCGTAGACAAATTAATTGCACACCAAGTGAACGCGAATAAAAAAGCGCATAATAGTGCGCAATATTATTAGTACTTTTAAAATTTACATTAGTTTTTTGAGAAATCGGAAGTAGCGTAAATAAGTACTTCCGGTCAACGAAAAATTCTCAAAATTTGACAGAAGGTAGAGAATTAGATCTTTTACTTACATATCAAATTTCATTTATCTATCTGAAATAGTACTCAAGTTATAGGCTTTTGAAAAATTCAAAGTAGAAAAAGTACCACTTCCGGTTATCCGAAATCGCTCAAAAGTTGATACGGATCTACGATTTTGATAAAATACTTATATATGAAATTTCATCAACCTAGCTGTAACGGTACTCAAGTTATCGTGTTTACACACGGACACACACACACACAGACACACAGACACACAGACATACGGACAGAATTGCAAAGCCCAGTTTTTCAGACTGGAATACGCATAAAACCTTTTAATTTTGATAAATCTGGATTGATAATTTTTGCCCGATTAAAATAAGTCCTCTATACTTCGGATGTGATGAAGGACTGAGGTGTAATACGGTGAAAATAGTTAAAATTTCAAGTGATTTTTGTGCACGATTACAATACTTTCTCTATACTTCGTATATACGAGAAAGTAAAAAAATCTAGAGTGATAATATTAATAAAAATAATAAATAAACACAATTAATATACACCGAATGGATGCTTTGGTGTTGTTGGCCTATTTATGTAAATTATCAAGTTACGTTCAGGCGACTATCATATCACTACCAAAGAATGAAAACAAATTACAATCCTAGATCTTCAGGGAGTAACTATTGTATGAGACTATCTGATAGTATATGCAATCTCTTTCAGTGCCAGAGGCGTAGCGGGGGGGGGGGGGGAGGGGCGGGGGGTGCGGACCGCACCGGGTGACACCAAGGCAAAAAATAGTAATATATATAGAGAAAAATTTGAGGGGGAGGGGGTGCAAATCGAAAAAATTCAAAGTTCGTCCCCAGGAAGGGTCGCTACGTCTCTGGGGGTGACACCCGACCTCGCTACGCCACTGTTCAGTGCTGTTTATGTTTATTACTTGTCAACGTGGTACAGTTCTGCAGTGCTTTTGTAATTGATTAACGATAATGTCTAATGAATCTTTAAAAAACATTGTGCGTCGATAGAGGCACGCAGAAATTCCTTGTTTCATCACGGTTTATATACCGTTGTTTCACTGCACACAGGTTTAAAAAAAATAAAACATCTTAAAAGTCAGTGTAAGAAAAGGGACGTGACTCAAAGAATAGTGTAAGTTTTAAGATAACTCTGATGAATCTCTTGATGTAATTCATGCATGCAATCGAGTGTGCTATGGAATGTTATAATAAAGTTAATGTTACCAGAAAATGACGGTAATCATATGCCACACCCAAGGAAAGTTGATGACTGCCAATTATGTGGTTTTTAAATATACGGACAGATAAGGGGTCGTCCATAAATGACGTCACATTCGTAGGGGGGAGGGAGGTCCGTAATTTTGTGACGGTGTGTGATGAGGGGGAGGGGGGGGGGGGGTTCAGATCGTGCGACGTCACACTTTTGCATTATAAAAAAAGCAATGTTAGAAAACGAATTTTAGACGTTATTTCGCGTTTTAGAACACTTTTGAAATAGGAATTGATTAAATTACTGTATTTTGACAGAGTTCAGACTAGATTTAAATTTTTTTTCGATGTTTTAAGAAAAATTCAACTGCAATTTTGAGTGGGGTTGTAGACTGAGGTGTGACGTCATTTTATGGGGGGGGGGGGGTGGGTTCTGGCTATTTGTGACGGAGGGGAGGGGGGGAGGTAAAATTCGTCAAAAAAAGCGTGACGTCATTTATGGATGACCCCTAAAGACAATGACAGTATCAAGCTAAATTGGTTCTCTGGTCACTGAATATACAGACACAAAAACGATAAGGTTAGTAGACTATTGTTTGCGTTGTTTTTGAGTATGCGGTCACAGGTTATGAAGAGGAAGATACTGCACCCGATTAAGCGCTTGGTGAAGTGGTATTTCAACAACAGCTAAATTGAATTGCTGGTTTTTTTTAATGATGATTTTTACATCGGTAAGTATAAATTTTGGTTCAAAACGTAAGTTTGGTTAAACTTTTTTTTATGAATGTAAGCACACATTAGTAATGGAAGTTATTTAGAGTGTTAAATCAGGTTGATTCTATGTTTTTAAGAGTGTTAAAACTGGTCGCTTCTATGTGTTTAAGAGTGTTAAAACTGGTCGCTTTAACGTGTTTAATAGTGTTTTTAGTGTTAGCTTTGGTAGTTTTTTACTTTCTCGTATATACGTAGTATAGAGAAAGTATTGTAATCGTGCAAAAAAAAATCGAGATTTTCACAAATCTCGGCGTTTTACACCTCACTGATACGGAAAAACATAATTTTGCAATCTTGTCCGTATGTCTTTGTGTGTGTCTGTGTGTCCGTGTGTAAACACGATAACTTGAGTACCGTTACAGCTAGGTTGATGAAATTTCATATATAAGTATTATATCAAAATCGTTGATCCGTATCAACTTTTGAGCGATTTCAGACAACCGGAAGTGGTACTTTTTCTACTTTGAATTTTTCAAAAGCCTATAACTTGAGTACTATTTCAGATAGATACATGAAATTTCACATGTAAGTAAAAGATCTAATTCTCTACCTTCTGTTAAATTTTGAGTAATTTCCGTTGACCGGAAGTAGTAATTTACGCTACTTCCGATTTCTCAAAAAACTAATGTAAATTTTAAAAGTACTAATAATATTGCGCACTATTATGCGCTTTTTTATTTCGCGTTCACTTGGTGTGCAATTAATTTGTCTACGAGATTTTATTCTATTTTTAAAACTTTAAGTATTTAAAATGGATTAAAAATCATGTCTATAGCCCGAGTTCCCATCCCCTGTTATTTTATATAAAAATATTCGAGAAAGTTTAGGGGAGATCACTCCCGGTTTATTAATGTATAGTATAATACTGTCAGAAATGTATGTAATAATGTGTTCAAATATTATTAAACATGTGTTTAATACTGTGTTTTTTTTTTCAAAATTTATTTTGTAACTGTTGAATGAATGTTGAAATCTATTGCTTAAAAGTGTTAATTTAGTATTAGAACCGATAGCGTACATGTGTTTAAAAGAATTAGAACAGTTAAGAGTGTTGAAAGTGTTAAAACAGAAAGCTTAAACGCGTATTTATAAGTGTAGGCTCTACAAAAGATGTACTGTAGGGACAACTTAAAATATGCGTTACAATACAGGGATTTTACTTAGCCATGTTTCGACGTAGCAGATTTTTCCATTTTACCGGGGAAAACCCGGTAGACAGGTAGCTTATGGAGGGAGTGTGATGAAGAAAAGTCGTACATTTTCATGGATACAGTCATTTTTATTGATATGGTATCAGTTATTAAAATTGGTTGTATAATTATACATTTGCCATAATTAGTTTTCGTATTTTAAATATAACATAACAACTTGGCTACACCATGCCAAAGTAATTAAATACATGATCATAAATGTAATCATATTCTATCTGTACATGCATGATTATAGTGTGTTTAAATACAAAATAGGAGACAGTTTGTATGGCAACAGTATTTTTACATAGCAGGTAAAAGACACGGAATGGACGGTAAAATCATGTCATAAGAAATGTGTTAACGGGTGGGGGGAGGGGGTGGTCGTGGGCAGGAAAGGCGTCTCATAACAACTCCATTACATGGCATGACATCCGTGTCATCTGTAAAATTTGGGTTATCTAAAACATCTTTGTCATTAGTAACATTAGTGTCATCTGTAAAATTTGGGTTATCTGAAACATCTTTGTCATTAGTAACATTTGTGTCATCTGTAAAATTTGGGTTATCTGAAACATCTTTGTCATTAGTAACATTAGTGTCATCTGTAAAATTTGGGTTATCTGAAACATCTTTGTCATTAGTAACATTAGTGTCATCTGTAAAATTTGGGTTATCTGAAACATCTTTGTCATTAGTAACATTAGTGTCATCTGTAAAATTTGGGTTATCTGAAACATCTATGTCATTAGTAACATTAGTGTCATCTGTAAAATTTGGGTTATCTGAAACATCTTTGTCATCTGTGACATCCGCGGCATCTGTCATATGAAACATCTGTGTTTTATTAACATCTGTCATCTGTAACATTTATGTCATGTGTAACATCTGTTTTCTGTTACATTTTGTCATCTGTTATCTATGACATCTGTCATCTGTAACGCACGTGTCATGTGTAACCTGTATGTCATCTTTAACATCTGTATCACCAGTCTCCCACGACGACATACTTGTGTGAGAAGAAAGCTTTAAGGTCTCTGACAAAAAGATGACCTTGTGACACGGGAGGTCAGAAGGATTTCAAAAATTTCTAAGTAACGATTAATAATTAAATTTAACTTTTAGATTCTTTTTTTTCAGTCAACAGAATGACACTAGAGTAGAAACCCAAAATTATGACAACGTATATATATATATATATATATATATATATATATATATATATATATATATATATATATATATATATATATATATATATTTATATAATTAAATGTAACTTTTAGATTCTTTTTTTTCTGAGTCAACAGAATGACACTAGAGTAGAAACCCAAAATTATGACAACGTGTATATATATATATATATATATATATATATATATATATATATATATATATATATATATATATATATATATAATAGGAGCGAGAAGAAGAGTTATTTGGCACTAGATCTGGTTCTGTGAGAAAAATGTTTCTATTTCTTTCCCACTGATCAACACAAAGATGTCCACATAGCTAAGCCGCCAATGTCTTGAAGCGACCCCCACTACGCCGTGCCACTGGCACCGAACTTTTTCTCCACATCCTGTGCCAGCTGGGACTTCCGCGAGTCTTTGAGTGCCAGCACCAGATCGCTGACCGTCCCCCTGCGGTGGAACATCTGCCATTTGCCCAGACTCTTCAGGGCCAACTCGCCCTCAGGTATGTCCCTCCGTGCACCAATGTCGTCCAGGAGGTCGATGTCGTGTTGGCGTTTTGCTTGCTCGCGGAGCGGGGTGAAGGGCAGACAGAGGTAGACTTTCTTCCAGTCGCGGCCGATAGAGGGTGCTGCGAACTGGCAGGCCTCACTCAGATGGAGGCTGCCGTCTGCAATTTGGGGTCATAGGGTTAATAGATTATGTGAAGTTTAGATGACGTGCTATAGTGGTCAGTAAGTAATATAAGTGTTATAATGGTCAACAAATATTGTGATATGGTGGTCAACAAATAATGTAAGTTTTATTGTGGTCAACAAATATTGTGATATAGTGGTCAACATATACTGTAAGTATTATAATGGTCAACAAATAATGTTATGGTGGTCAACTAACAATGTAAGTGCTGTAGTGGTCAACTGATGTGTCCTAGTGGTAAGCAAAGAAAAAGGTCAATTTTATAGTAGTCAAAAATAATGAAAGTGTTTTAGTGGTCAACAAATAATGTACGTGTTATAGTGGTCAACAAATATTTGTCCCAGTAGTAGGCAAAAAAAAAAAGAAAATGTTATAGTAGTCAACAAAAATGTGTTAAACTGATGCAAAAATAAATGTTATAATAGTAAAACATTTGTACTATAACTGATCTATTTTATTTTGCCTGAACCTTATTGACGCTTTATCCTTATTCCATTCCTAACCCAATAATATCGGCTGTAAATACAATTTACACACTACACCTGGTTACTAAACGAAACACAATTTCGCCGTTATTCATGATTTATATTGATGATATAATCAGCAACCTTTTCAATTTATTCATCTGTTTTATCTTACACAAGCCCTCATCTTCTATGTCACTCGAAATTGCCTTGTGAAAAAAAACTATAAATTCCCAACCCCTATTGTAATTTACGATGTATATAGTTGAGGAGATGTTTGTTTTAAATAGGGGTCCATAAATGACGTCACACTCGTAGGGGGGAGGGGTGGGTCCGTAATTTTGTGACGGTGCGTGATGAGGGGGAGGGGGGTGGATCTGATGGTGGGACGTTACACTTTTGTATTATAAAACAGCAATGTTAGAAAACTAATTTTAACCGTTATTTCGCGTTTTAGAAAACTGTTTTAATAAATTGTAATAGGAATTGATTAAAATACTCTTTGTTGAGAGTTTAGACAAGATTTTGGAAAAATATCGATGTTTTAAGAAAAATTCAACTGCAATTTTGAGGGGGTTGTAGACTGAGGTGTGACGTCATTTTAGTGGGGGGGGGGGGGGTCTGGCTTTTTGTGGCGATGTGTGACGGAAGGTGAGGGGGGAGGTAAAAATCGTCAAAAAAAGCGTGACGTCATTTATGAATGACCCCATAGATCTATAACCTAATTTTTATTCTACTAAGGGGGAAACAGAAACCGTTAAGAAAAATAACATTTTTTTTTAAAAATCAGAGATAAAAAACGACATGAAGTCCACTCACTCGATAGCGCCGCGTCCTGCCTCTCCTTGTCTCGAATGTTTCGCCTGAAGGCGTCGTCCGATATCTTCATCTCGCGTATCTTCATCAGGACGAGAATCTGCTGCTCGATCTCCGAGATCCTCTCCTTCACAGATGACATGTCGCTGTCCAACTTCCGGTTCTCTTTGTGGATGTCTTCCCTGTCATGCCTGCAGGTCACTGACTCCACCTGCGACAGGTGAATGGGAGAATTCTAGACATGCAGGCATAGAAATGTCAAAAGTACTAAGAATGCCAGCCTAACAATCTAAATGATCGCGCTCCATATCTATATCACAAGAACGTGGCATTGACTCACCCATATCAACCTTCCTCATTCCGCGATTTCATATTGAACAACCATACATTTCAACCTTCCTCATTCAGACATTCAACATTGAACAAACATAGATGTTTTTCATTCAGTCTTTTAAATCGCACACACACACACACAAAAAAAACAGCTCGCCAATACAATGGGACGGTAGTAGGGCTAATCCGTTAGTCGCGAGTTCGAATCTGGGTTCAAGTCAGTAGACCATCCCTGAGTCGACCCAGCTCTGATGGGTACCTAACTCACGTTAGGGAAAATTATGGCGGCTGGGCATAGTGCTGACTACATTATCCCTTGATATGCCGAGGTCACTGAGACAGATAAATTCTACGTCATCTGCCCCTTGTGTCTTGGTCGCGAACGGAAAATATGATGATAGCCAATACAACAAAACAATAAGCCACCTTTTGTGATATATAAAAAGAGGCCAGGATATTTTAAAAGGGGTCTCCAACCCCAGATTGAAATTTTCATTGTACATTTTACCTTAAAATAAAGCGACGCATGATACTGATTTGTCACGCTAGTTTACAATGAAAGTGAAATCACTTAGCGAGCTAATTTTCCCTTTGATGTTTTCAACTCTTTAAACAAGATCATTTTTAGACAGAAGACAAACAGAACGAGAGTAAACTAATAATTGAATAGATAATATAAGTGAAAACCTAAGGACAGTTCGCATGCTTACATCGCCTTAGAATTTCACTACCACTAATTAATTTATAACATTAATTTTAATCTGTGTTTACTTAATTAAGCATTCTACGAGTTAAGGCGACTCTAAAGACTGACACAGTATCAATTTCTGAAGCAACAACTATCTGAACACACCCGATTCCCTCTACAGTTTCTAGCCTGCAGTGGAGTGTTCTAAACGCTTGGACCCAAGTTCCAGAGGCGTAGCGGGGGGGGGGGGGGGACCGCACCGGGTGACACCATTTATATGGGTGACACCGGGGCAAAAAATTGCAAACATGTGCAAGAAAAAAATGCCTTTTGCCAGTTACATTATTGATTAAATTAAGTGAAATAGTCTTTTAAGTACAAATCGACAACTATTACAAGAGTGGGGGGGGGGGGGGGGTCGACACCATGACGTAAACGTGCTAATTATAGAAAAAACAATGCTACATCCAACTGTATTATAAACAGACCATAGATAAACAACATAACGATTAAGTCTACAGTGATTAAAGCCTATACACTTACATTTACGCGTATGTGGCATATATTTAAATTATAGGCCGACGCACTCATATAGCCTATATAAATGTATATATATATAAATATATTTATATATATATATATATACATATATATATACTTCGTTTCTTGGGGGGGGGGGGGTGACATCACGAAGTGCCGCACAGCGTGACACCCGACCTAGCTACGCCACTGGACCCACCCCCATTTGGCTAAATCCCCAGACCCACCTTATATTCATACGTTCTATCTATTTCAGTCTTTAACTGTTTTTTCAATGTCTCCGTCTGTTTTTCCACTTCGACTTTTTCTTTCTCTAATTTCTCAATGTCGGCATCGAGAGAGGCCAGACTTTCTCTCACCTCTTCCTTTTCTCTCTGTGTTTTAGCATCGGTCTCAGAGACCCCGTCTCTCTCAGCCCTGCAACACACGAGAAGCACACGTTAAAGGTCAGCAGAGATGAAACAACAGTACACACGTTACTACACATAGCTTTAACATGGAATAGAGGATACACAACATTTCTATCTTTTGTTTGCAGCCTTACTTCTAACAAAAATGCCAGTGCTAAAAATACATAAATACAACATACGTTCCATTTCTTATTTAATATGTGTACAAAGCATCAGAAACAGCACAAAAAATAAATAAAAATAATAATACACAGATTAAAAATGTATCAGTGAAATCGATACCTTAGCCTGAGTGCTGATAAAATTGTCTCATACATACATACATATATATATATATATATATATATATATATATATATATATATATATATATATATATATATATATATATATATATATATATACATATACATATATACATACATACATACATATATATACATATATATATATATATATATATATATATATATATATATATATATATGATACATATATATAGATATATATGTATTATATATATGTACATATATATGTATTATATATATGTATATATATATGTATATATATAATACATATATATAATACTTATATATAATATATATATATACATATATACATATATATATATATATATACATATATATAAGCTGGAGGGTGGTTTGTGATTAAACAAATCAACAGTAGGGGACAGAAAAGGGCACATAACTCTTATTTTTACTTTTATCTTCTCTAGTCTGTGCCCAAAACATGGGGCAGATAGAGTTCACCTGTTTCAACGACCTCGGTATGTATAAGGCAGTACTTTAGCCCAGCCTGTTCGGTTTTTTTCTAACGTGAGTCAGGTACCATTTAGAGCTGGGTGGGCTCAGCGACGTCCAACTTACTCTGACTTATATTTGATGTTACGAGTGTGAAAAGTGTTTAACAAGCTTGTTACATGTGACACTTGCAGGTAGCGGGTAACGAGTAGCTAAGCCATGAACACTGAGTAGCAATATCATTGGAGGTAGCCTTGCTGAGAGATAGCTAGTAGCTACCGCAGTAGAAACAAATCAGTAGAAAGGTAGTCGGTAGAAACATTACCAAGATGAGACTATACGAATTAGAAAATACATTCAAAATTTACCATCTTTACGGTTAAAACTTGATCTAAGAAACTAACCCATGCAGTTTCAACTAAAAGGATGTTAGCTTGTATTGAAGGTTACATGTTTTTTTATGTTAACTTTGGTATTGTGGCCTAGCGGTAGAGCGCTAGCCTGCTAAACCGAAAGTTTTGAGTTCGGATCCCGGGCTCGAGTCTAGAACATCCCTGATTCCTCCCTGCTCTGATGTGTACCTGACTCACGTTAGGGAAATCAAGGCGGCTGGACATAGTGCTGACCACACTATCCTTTCATATGCTGAGCACATTGAAACAGATGAACTCTACTTCACCTACTTCGATATACCGTAATGTTTACAATTTGAACCTACACAGTATGCTCAGTATGCATAGCTCGTGATTGTTTAAACGTGTCAATATTTGATAAGAAACATATCGATTTTGTCAAAGATCGTATACATAAAAACACCACAACAGAAAAAAAAAAACAACCTTTTTGTTTGAATCTTTTTGTCGGTTCTCTCTCCTTTGTTCTCCAGATACCCAAGCTTTGTCTTGAGCCGATGTTTTTTAGTCCGGTGTGTGTAGTAGTGCTGGGTCGCTTTGTTTTCTTTCTTTTGTAGTTTCGCGATGTGTTGGGCGTTTTCTTGTTTCTTGTTCTCTAGCTGTATTGTAAGAGTATTGTCATGATTGATGTGTTGGCAGCATTACAAGTGTGGAAACAAAGGAAGGATTAAGGGGTTGGTTTTTTAATCATGGCTGAGAATTGTGGGAAGTCACCGTGACATTCACGATTTTTATCACTTAGTTTGATATTTGCTAAGCAGCTATTTAAAAAAAAAATCTTACTTATATACAGTCAGAGTTTCTTCCAGGTATCTCTTCGGTAGGGGGGGGGGGGGGGCTGAGCCCCTCCCGAAGAAAGTCTACCGGCCCCGAACGAGATAAAATTTATATAGTAAATATATACTTTTACTATTCTGTTGTCCGCCCCCCCCCCCCCCCCCCGGAGAAAAAAGTATGGAAGAAACACTGTATACAGTCCAAAAATATTGAATAGCATTGATTTTAATTTTAAAATCTTGGTCGGAAATGAGGGGGGGGGGGGGAATTTAGTGGGTGGGGGGGGGGGGGGGTAGCAACGTGACCACCCCTACCCACACATAACTCATAAACCCAAACTGCTGTGGTCTTATCTGAAATCTTCTCTTGTTTACAAACAATAGGGCTGGTAAGTAGGTCACCAACCAGTTCTACGGCTCAATAAAACCTGCATGAGCCATAGAACTGATTGTTGACCTATTTACCAGCCCTATTAGCGTTCACAATCCTACGTCGCCTCCTTTAATGTAAGAGAATGATACCTTCTTATCACTTGATAATACCGACATAGTGAAGCAAACAAGTTATAATAATAAAATTATATGATGTTGCTCTTGTCCACCTCCACATCCCTATATTAAATTATAACAAAATGAGAACTACTCCATTCCTTTTGTTATATAATCACAATCTCAAATGTTACTTTAAAAATTCTATGACATACTCGCGGCAAATCTACCACAGTAACTGTATGTCTTATTGTGTTATATACTAGGGAAAAAAAAACAGACATGAATACTAATTAAATTAAGGAGTCGTCTATAAACACATCTTGCTCTTAAACGGTCGGGGGGGGGGGGGTTGCATATTTATCCAAAGAACTTCTACCGCCTCCCCCCCCCCATTCCCCACGCGAAATATAATCGATGTACACAATATATTCTCCAACCAGTATCCGACCTACCCCCTCCCCGGAAATTTGAAGTCTGCCCCCCCCCCCCCACATCTGAGAGTTAAAGTGCCTACATACCCGGAGAAAAAATGCCTGAAAGAAACACTGTGTATGACGATGGGGAGGGGGGTAAAAATCGCTAGCTAATGTGTGTTGTCATTTATGAACAACTCCTAATGATTTTTATGTGTTAAAACTACTCAAAGCTTTCATCAGATATGTGTCCCGTTATGGTGTATGCTAAAGTCAAAGTTGTGATGGATTATTGCCCTTCAACACGATCAGATTCTGAACTTTAAGTTACACCACCGTTTTAACATGTATGTGCTTTTGTTTATCAGCGTATGTAAGACGCCTCTCATAGTAACCTAACCTCAACTACAGCTTACCGGCTGTGTATTCCCGTCCCAAACAAATTATATTTCTAGTATGGTCTGGTGGTAGAGCATATGACTGATAAGTAGAGAATCTCGAGTTCGGTACCCGGAAGTTGCAGAGAGCAACTTAAGTCTGTTGGGTTCCTGACTACTTAGGAAATGTAAAGTCGACGCACCATTATAGTGATTACACGTTCCTTTCGTGTGCCAAAGTAAGAGAAATAGATGAACTCTACTTCATCTGTTATTGGTACCACGGGGAACTATACTCTTAGCTTTAATATCCCCAACAACCATGTTTAAGCTCTAAATTAACACAAACCTATACCTTAACCATAAGCATTAACGTTGAAATAATATGAGGGTTATAGCATTTATAGGCGATACCAGCTTTATACATTACCCCCACCCAGTGGCGTAGCCAGGATCGTCTCAAGGGGGGGGGGGGGGGTTACAATTTTTACCCGGGGACAAACTTTCGATTTGCACCCCCCCCCCCCCTCAGACTTTCGATTTGCACCCCCACCCTCAAACTTTCGATTAGCACCCCCCTCAAACTTTCGATTTGCACCCCCCATCATACTTATATATATACCTAGGGGTCTATGGGGGGGTATGACCCCCCTAACCCCCCCCCCCTGCCTACGCCACTACCCCCACCTTTGCAATCCCCAGGCGTTACCTGTACCAGTGACTCCTTCAGATTCTCCTTCAACTTCCGGTTGACCTCAATCTCCTCCTCCACTTTATTTGGGAACTCTTCATCCTCCCGCAACCAGTTTTCTATAAGCCTACACAGCTCCAAGTAAAGATCGCTGAGACGGCTCATGGCCTCCGTGTGCCTGCTCCCCTCTTGGATAAACTCCACGAAAGGTTTCAGCATCTGATCGTATTCCTTCTGGCTCGTCTGAATCTCCTCCCATTTCGATTCGATATCACCCTTGTGTTTCACGATATTGTTTTCGTAATCTTCAACACAAAGCAACACCTCTTTACCCGTCATTTGCTTCAAACTGATGCAAGTCTTCACGACGTATTTCTCCAAGCAGTTTAAAATTTGCCCGTTACATTCTGGGATGAGCGCGTCGAACTCTTCCGCTCTTTTACTGATGGCGGTTAAATCGAGGAATTCATCCGCTGATGCTACTTCATCCGGCAGTTCTTTCCGGAGGCTGAGTTTTAAAAAATGTCGAAAATCGTGAATTCCATCCGGTCTCATCTTCCACGCCGGCAATATCTCATTATTCAGGCACTCTGAGCATTGTTCGAAATTATAGCTCGACCCTTTCACCAGATGGGATTTCTTGAACGCTTTTAGTTTTCTGCGAACGTGCAAGACGACGTCTTGGATGATTTTATGGTTGACGTTCTTGGCCCGCTTGGGTTTACTGTCCGATCTGCGGTTAGTCTTGTGACTTCCAGTGCCATTGCTGGCAGTACTACGTGACGAATTCTCCCCTACCATATTTCTAGTTGAACCGTCATTGTTTTGGACTTAATGTCTGAAAAGAAAATGGGTGAAACAGTTAAATTTAAGCGTTGATTCTCTAGTAGCATTATCGTGATGATGTTTCACTGTTAGTGCTAAAAGACACATGGAGAGGAAAGTTTATCTGTTTAAACTACCTGGGCGTATAAAGAGATAGTGTGGTCAGTACCAAGTCGCCTTAGTTTTCTTTAAAATGTGTCAGGTACCCATCAGAGCTGGGTGAACTCAGGGACTTCGGAATCCGTACTCAAGTCTTTCGGGTTAGAAGCCTAACCTGTATTGTGGGTACCTTAGCCTACACATACACTGCGGGTACGCTAACATATACTGTGGGTACCTAGCCTACAGATAATTGTGGGTGTCTTAGCCTAGAGATTCACTGTGGTTGCCCTAGCCTATAGTTTGAGTACCTTAGCCTACAGATGCACTGTAGGTACTCTAGCCTATAGTGTCGGTACAGATCCTGTAAGCAGCTTTGCTTATATTATGGGTACCTAGCCTGGATATACACAGTGGATACCCTAGCCTGCATTGTGGGTACCTAGCTTACATATATACACAGTGGGTGGTCTTTCCTATATTGTGGGTATCTTAACCAATATACAAAGTGGGCAGAACTTCTTCAAGGCATCTCTTCCACCCCCCCCCATCCCCGAAGTAGAAAATATTTTTTTACTAGTGTCCGCCCCTCCCCCCCCCCCCGAAGATTCAAAGTGCCCCTTGAACAAATGTCTGAAAGAAACACTGAAAGTGGGTACCTAGCCTACGAGTAACAAAACCTATAAATACAATGTGCGTACCCCAGTGGCGTAGCGAGGTCAGGTGTCACCCGGTGCGGCACTAAATGGTGTCACTCCCAGAGGCGTAGCGACCCTTCCCGGGGACAAACTTTCAAACTTTCGATTTGCACCCCCCCCCCCCTCAAGTTTTTCTCAATATATTTTGCTATTTTTTGCCTTGGTGTCACCCCCCCACTAATTGGTGTCGCCCGGTGCGGTACGCCCCCCCTCTCGCTACGCCTCTGGCGTACCCTAGCCTATGTACACACATTATTAATGTAATAAAGTACGAGAAACAATACACTGTGGTGTGCGGACGTATGAAGACAGAAGACTAAGCCATGAATCAACAACAGACAATTTACGATAGACCTAGTGTGGCATGTTCTGTGTTCAATGAACCGTGCCATGTGTTGTGTGTGTCCTAGGTTGTGTGTGTCCTGCGTTGTGTGTGTCCTACGTTAAGTGCGCCCTACGTTATGTGTGTCCTAGGTTGTGTGTGTCCTAGGTTGTGTGTGTCCTGCGTTGTGTGTGTCCTACGTTATGTGCGTTCGAGGTTGTGTGTGTCCTAGGTTGTGTGTGTCCTACGTTGTATGTGTCCTACGTTATGTGTGTCCTAGGTTGTGTGTGTCCTAGTTTGTGTGTGTCCTACGTTGTGTGTGTCCTAGTTTATGTGTGTCCTACGTTATGTGTGTCTTAGGTTGTGTGTGTCCTAGGTTGTGTGTGTCCTAGTTTGTGTGTGTCCTAGGTTGTGTGTGTCCTAGGTTGTGTGTGTCCTACGTTGTGTGTGTCCTAGTTTGTGTGTGTCCTAGGTTGTGTGTCCTAGGTTGTGTGTCCTAGGTTGTGTGTGTCCTACGTTGTGTGTGTCCTACGTTGTGTGTCCTACGTTGTGTGTGTCCTAGGTTGTGTGTGTCCTAGGTTGTGTGTGTCCTAGTTTGTGTGTGTCCTAGTTTGTGTGTGTCCTAGGTTGTGTGTGTCCTACGTTGTGTGTGTCCTAGGTTGTGTGTGTCCTACGTTGTGTGTGTCCTAGGTTGTGTGTGTCCTAGGTTGTGTGTGTCCTACGTTGTGTGTGTCCTAGGTTGTGTGTGTCCTAGGTTGTGTGTGTCCTATGTTGTGTGTGTCCTACGTTGTATGTGTCCTAGTTTTTGTGTGTCCTAGTTTGTGTGTGTCCTAGTTTGTGTGTGTCCTAGGTTGTGTGTCCTACGTTGTGTGTGTCCTTTGTTGTGTGTGTCCTACGACAAAAAGCTGTTCCACACTGCAACTCCATAATGCAGTCTAGATATAGGTAAACAACTCATATTTTATAAATAATTTTAGCACAAAACCATTGTATTTTACAATAGAAAGTGTTACGATATTCTGATGATTCACATTGTTGAAGTCAATTATTTACAAAAATGCATAAAAAATAAATTAAATAAAGGACATGTTAGTAAAAGGAAATAAAGAAAACAAAAACAATAGGGAAGAGGAGTATCATTATAACACAGACAACATAATTACACTGATTAGCGCATAATGAGTTTTTGAGCTATTAAGCTGAAGAAGTTAAAGCTTGTAGCCCTATCAAAATAAAGCAATTCCTACGTCTTTACACCTAGACACATAACAATACACACCCCTCTTTTACACACACACACTCACACTATAGTAAAGTTCTCTATTCGAACATGACGGTCCATGGAACAAGTGGAGTAGAGTTCACCTGTTTCTGTGACATCGGTATATAAAGGGAAGTGCAGGGGCGTAGCTAAGGGGGGGGGGGGGGCGGGGGGTGCGGACCACACCGGGTGACACCATTTAGGGGGGTGACACCAAGGCAAAAAATAGCAAAATATATAAAGAAAAACTTGAGGGGGGTGCAAATCGAAAGTTTGAGGGGGGGGGGTGCAAATCGAAAACTTGAGGGGGGGGGGGGCAAATCGAAAATTTGAAAGTTTGTCCCCGGGAAGGGTCGCTACGCTTCTGGGGGGGGGGGGGTGACACCATTAAGTGCCGCACCGGGTGACACCCGACCTCGCTACGCCACTGGGGAGTGTACACACTTCAGTATACAGATCAATAAACATTAATTTTCCTAGATAAATCTAAAAGAGTAACAACTTAATCATATTGTTAAATACAAAAGATTATTTTAGATCGCTAAATACTTAAACTTGAAGTTCGTATGTTGATTTGTAATGAAGTTAAATGCCGAGCATGTTAGAGCGTGCTAATTTTACACAACAAACCACACACAAACACACTAATCCGTTGTCTGATTTAGAATCACGACCTACACACCAATAAAGGTCTATTTAAAATTTGACAATAAACTAACCATTACACTGTAATTATTCTTACCTATTTTATTTATCCCTTTTATGCCCGGAGAAATACACACGAAGGCTTACCGCCGTTTTGTCACAAGCTTACGTCATAAACAAGCCCCGCCCACTAGTCTCTTGGTTACGTACAAGCAGAGTAACACGCTTTTACTAGAGCTAAAAATAACCATTGCAAAACGTATCCGGTTGGTTGGTTTTTTTACTTATGTAAACAAGCAGTGTTTTTATTATGGACAAGAAATCTAGAATCAGTGGAACTTTTCATTGAACTTGAAAATGTCGTAATTGCACAAAGGTAATTCACAACAATACATTTCACAACTATATAAAAATAAGTAAGAGATATTCTAGATGAATTAGCGTTTCACTTTATAAAAACGACAAATCAGAAATAGCTTGTATAAAAGCAAGTCAATTCTCATAGACAACAAGTGTTTATTATATATATATATATATATATATATATATATATATATATATATATATATATATATATATATATATATATATATATATATATATATATATATATATATATATATATATATATATATATATATATATATATATGCGCAGATATACTGTTTCAAAAATGTATTCTAGCTACCACTTAAAGTTTTACCTTTTTCATGGTCGACAACCGCTAAACAAGGGAAATAATCCGTGTTCTGAATACGACAGTAAACGCAAATCTGCAATTCAACACGACCCAGCGCTGATTCTACCGTCCTGAGTTCCAGTTTTTTTTTTTACTTATTGATTTTATTGATCAGACGAGATCGATAACAAAAAAATTAATTTCCTACACCGATAAAAACAATTGGCTAAAGCGTCATTAATCCTCTTTTATCTCCAGGATTTAGCAGTCGATGACACGATAATGTAATCTGTACACCTACAATAGGTTGGCTTACAGACGATTAGTTTTATGCGAGTACGATTTAGTTTATACTAAATTTTTAAATTTAAGGATACTTTATATTTCTATATAAGCAACATATACATGCCTTTATATTTTAAAAGCTTAATATATTTACGCATACTTCTGTAAATTTATATTTTTAATTGAATCAATACTAAATTAGGTATAAATAAATTAAAAAATAAATAAATGAATAAATAAATAAATAAATAAATAAATAAATAAAAAAAAAATAAAAAAAAAATATATATATATATATATATATATATATATATATATATATATATATATATATATATATATATATATATATATATATAAATATATATATATATATATATATATATATATATATATATATATATATATATATATATATATATATATATATATATATTTACAGCTAATATTCTCGTGGTCTAGCGGTAGAGAGCTGGACTGCTAACCCGTAAATCTCGAGTTCGAATCCGGGTTCAAATCAGTAGATTGTCCCTGAGTCCACCCAACTCCGAAAGTAAAGGCGGCTGGGCATAGTGCTGACCACACTATCTCTTGCCGAGGTCACAGAAACAAGTGAACTCTACTTCCCTCGCCTATAGACCGTCAGGTTTGAAAGGGAAATTTACTTTATTCTCGTGTACCAGTGTAGGACTTCGGTAGTTTGATAATGAAGATTAAGTAATACTAACTGCTGTAGACAATTTTACTTACTGCTTTAGAGTAGAATGTTATAAATAGGAACGTTTCTCTAACTGACACAGGGCATGTAAAGAAGAAATCCATGTATGCCAGGGGTATCATGGATAAATATCCTGAAGCTTTCCATTTCTCTGTTATGACACGATCAAATCGATCGATTTAAAAAAATAGCACCGCGATACTCAATATTGGCCATAGATCGATAAATCTGAATGGTGTTTCGGGGAGGTGTGTGATTAGGATTAGAGGCAGAGGGACGTCAGGTGTGCTGTCGTGTGAGGGGAGAGTAGGTGTGGTGTGTGTGGGGACGGTATCCGTGGTGTGTGTGTGATTAGGGTACCCATAGTGTGTGAGATTTGGGTACCCGTGGTGTGTGAGATTAGAGTACCCACAGTGTTTTAGATTTAGGTACCCGTGTGTGAGATTTGGGTACCCGTGTGTGAGATTTAGGTACCTGTGGTGTGTGAGATTTGGGTACCCGTGGTGTGTGAGATTTGGGTACCCGTGGTGTGTGAGATAAGGGTACCCACAATGTTTTAGATTAGGGTACCCGTGTGTGAGATTTAGGTACCTGTGTGTGAGATTTGGGTACCTGTGTGTGAGATTTGGGTACCTGTGTGTGAGATTTGGGTACCTGTGTGTGAGATAAGGGTATCTGTGTGTGAGATGTAGGTTCCCGTGGTGTGTGAGATATGGGTACCCGTGGTGTGTGAGATATGGGTACCCGAGGTTTGTGCGATATGGGTACCCGAGGTGTGTGAGTTATGGGTACCCGTGGTGTGTGAGAAATAGGTACCTGGTGTGTGAGATATGGGTACCCGTGGTGTGTGAGATATGGGTATCCGAGGTTTCTGCGATATGGGTACCCTAGATGTGTGAGATATGGGTACCCGTTTTGTGTGAGATATGGGTACTCGTGTTGTGTGAGATATTGGTACCAGTGGTGTACAAGGTTAGGGTACTCATGGTATATGAGACCAAGGAACCCACGGTGTGTGAAGGGAGGAAATCGATTGTTTGTGAAGCTACCCACGGTGTGTAAGGATATTGTACCCACTATCTTTTTGTGATAGTATATCTGATATTTTTTCACCACCTTTGGGTTTTAAATAATGTTCATATATATATATATATATATATATATATATATATATATATATATATATATATATATATATATATATATATATATATATATATAAAACAAGAATTTGATTTTGAGATTTTCAATTTTTTTTTTGCGAAATCAACCCACCCTTACTAATAGCATAGTTGTGTGGTTGTAACTTAAAGTAAAATAGTAACATTCTTGGAAGTTGAAGAACTGCTCCTAGCTTTTTCTAACACACCAACCCCCCCCCCCCCCAACCCCCACCTTCGCCTTTGTTTTCAAAACCAAAACAAACAGAGAACGAGATGAGCACATCATTAAAAAAACAACTCTCTAGATGATATTGCATTTATTTTGTTGTAGGATTAAAACATTTTCTAAGATGTCTCCCTGGGTAGATTTCGATTGCGTAACACCCTTCTCGCCGATGACGTCACGCATTTCCAGCAGCCGGCGTAACCTTGGGCTGTCCTAATTATTATTGCCGTTTTTGTTGTAAGTATTCTCATCCTCATCGTCTTCATCATCGCTTTCCTCTTCCTCGTTATCATCCTCTTCCTCATTACCCACCTCACCGCCTTCGTGTTCCCCTTCTTCATCTTCTTCACCATCCTCATCGTCTTCTTCAGCGTCATCTTCTTCCTCGTCATCGCATATTACCTCCTGATAACCCACATCTTCATCTTCAATAGTTTCCACATCATCGCCTGTATCCTCCCCATTCTGCTCGTACCAGACATCATAGCTGCCTTCCAGAGCTGTTCCTTCACTGAAGTCATCACTGTGCTCCCCTTCAGCCAGTTCCGCTTGCTGCTCTCTGTCATCAGAGCACTCGCTCAACTTCTCCTCCTCCTCTTCAACAGCTCTCCAATTCTCGTCTGGCTTCCCGCCTCCTCCGCCGTACGACCCTGCTGGTGAGTGTCTAGAACCGAGGCTCTTAATCCCCGCGTCGCCTTGACAAACGTCACAATAACGGTCTTTTCCTTCCGGTTCCACCGCTCCTTTGTTGCCATGTTGTTCCCGTTTTTCTTTTGACTGCGGTCCTGACCAACGATCCGACTCTATAAATTCACACTGATTGCTGGAATTATTCCCATCGGTTTTCTGCGACGAGACTGAATTGCTGTCTTTTTTGTGTAGGCCGCACTGCTCGGCGTAGCACGGTTTTTTGTCCTGCATCATCCGTTCAAAAGATGAGATAATGTTTTCCGGATCGTCGTCATTCGTGTTGGGTTGCTGATACTGAAATTTCTCAAACTGGATGTCAAATTCTCCGGTGAAGTTAAAGTCATTAATATGTATGCGTTCATCATCGAAGGAGCGGCTCATCCAGTTTTCATCAAGTTCTTCTCTAGGCGGTTGGTCTTCCCAGCGCAAACCACCATAGAGCTCCGTCGCTTCATCTGCTTTGGTGCTGCGGATTTGGGTGAATTTTCTCCTGATGGCGTCCGAGTAATGTGGGATAGCTTTGTTGGAAAACTCTACCTCTTGGCACGGTAGCGGGAGCTCTTTGGAGCTTTGATTGGCTTGGAAGTTCTGGAGAGGTGTTTCAACGATGGGGATGTTGCTACACACGCTCAGCTCACCGCTGATCCACAGCTCGTCTTCTGAGGACGCCCGTTTCGAAGTCTCGTTCATTGGGGGTTCTTTGTCGAGGGATGGTGGACATAATTTACTGACTTCTCTTATCAACGGTGAAGCTCTAGGGGAGATTTTGCTAGGCGGATGCCATTGGTAGCTTTTATTGCTGTCTAGGCTTCTCGTTGGCGAAATTCGTTTCCTGTTTCTTCTTGAGGTGATGTACCCTGGTCTCATAAACTCTTGCATGTGGATCTGTTTTAAGGCACTGCAATCTTTACCTTCAGCCATGTTCCCCATTGTCGGCCGGTTGACCGGTGATCTAGATTTTGGAGAATGCGCATGGTTGCTAACGTCGCCGGAATTCTCAAAAGCTTTGGAGTTTTTGAAAAACATGTTCTTGACGCAATCGACCAAGTTTAACATTTTAAAACTTGAATCCGCTAGGTCTGGGGACAGCGGGTTTTTGTTGAGTTGACGGTGTCGCCTAGACTTTCGTCCAGCGATGTAGGCCACGCTCTCTGGTATACACAAGACGGGCTGGTTGGCCCCCGACTCAGCGAAAGCGCCGGAGCTGAGGTTTAGGCTGTTTGGAGAGAACTTTTTTTTCTTGATGCCCTCTGCATCGCAGGCTTCGTTCGTACCGTGGTTGCTGTTTGTGTTGATGGGACTCGGTGTAAGAAACTCACGAGGTGAACCTTGGCTCGTCTGAAACTTCGGGGCCAGCATCGTGTCTACTTTATCATAAGCGGAAGGATCAAGTGCCGGTTTTTCCCCAGAAGGACTGCGTCCAGAGTGGTAAGGA